GACCAAGAAACAAAGCAAACCAGAGTATGAAATATAGTTTTCATTATAACCCCACACACATATGTATGGAGCTATAAAGTGACTCCCTGTCCTATTCACCGGCTGTGTCCTGCAGTTTGAAAAATATTGACACAGCGAAGCTCACCAAATTTTTGATGAGTGAATGATGGAACAAATAAATGAATACTTGTATTTCGACACTGGTTAAATAGAAACTCTGCATTAGATAATTTTCAAGATCTCTTCATTTAAAATTCTGAAATTGATGCCTTTCTTTTTCTTTTTTTCAATTTCCAACAGTTTCACAATGCCCCAGGGCTCTCATAATCCTCAGTTAAAGGATTCTCACTGATACAAGAGATCAGAGGGTTCTGTTGCAATTTGTTCATTAATTCAACATTTGCAGTGTCTTCCCTTCTAACCTCCCCAGATCTCCTGTCTCTGATCCAAGAAGCACCCGCAAAGATAGACAGTATGCTGAAGCATAGGAGGTTCCCAGGAGTCTCATTTGTGGTATTCTTTCTTTGACTTCTACAAGGTCTCAAGGTTGAGGTGGAATGTGGAGGAGGAGAGGCCTCAAGTCTCTGTGGCCTGGAAAGGTTTGTTATTCCCTGGGCCAAGGAAATGTGCTGCTATGCCAATAGAGAATGTGAATCTTCTACCTCTTGTACCCAGAGGGCTCCATGAACTCCAAAGATGCCTATCCTGCCGCCTGCCATTCATCCTCCTGCAGAATAAGCCAGGGTGGTCACCTGGGAGGGCCACATAGAACAATGTGGGTCTGGAGGAGCTTGCAGAGGGCTGGTCTTCTTGGAGCTCACCCAAGGGGATCTAGTGATCACTGCCCCAGTGGGACCAGGTTACAGCTCCCCCATAGGGTAAAGCCTTAAGACAACTCAAGGAGATGGTGGAGACCAGAGGGGGTGCTCTGCTATTTGCACTAGAAGTACAGGTGAGTCCCTCACCCCAAATTATATTATCATTAGCTAGTATTGACTGGGTGTTTGCCCGTCCCTCGTTCTCTGCAAAGTACATCATCTCATTTAATCCCCACAACCACTCTGTGAAGTAGATACTATTATTAGTCATAATTTACAGATAAAGAAACCAAGGCACAGGAAGTTTAAGTAACTTGCCCACTCATGCAGCAAGTGGTAGAAATTGGAGTTACCCAAGTTTCACGACTCCAGAAGCCTGCATGCTAGGTCGCTACGCTGTGCACCTTCCCTGGGGCCGGTGGCATCGAGTTAGTGAAGAGAAGGCCCTCTACCTGGCACTGTGCTGCAGGGGGTGCCAAGAAGTACTGACGTGTGTCATCATGGCCATGTCCTGTCATCCTGTCCAGAGCACAAACCTTCCATCCTGTCATTCATTGCCATATGTGCCGAGTGTAGCACACCATGCAGGGCCCACGTTTATGATATTCCAGTTCTGGGAACATTACTGGCCTCAAAAACCACTCAGTACCAGTGGTTCTCAAGCTTTCCTGGATCATCGCCCTTCGAGAAACAGAGGACTGCTAAGATCCTCTTGCTAGAAGAGTGCATGTCCATGTATCTGCTACATTTTGCACTTTATTTGGGGGCTCTATGTTCATCAGGATTTGAACCCTGTTCCAGATGTTCAGACTCACAGACCTTCAGGCATGTCCCTGCTGCCTGCCTTGTCCCTCTGAAGCCATGCCCACCAAAAAACCAGGGGCAGAGGAACCTGCTTCTCTGGATCACACTCTGAAAACTGCTGTTCAGAAAAGTGTATTGGGTGCCAGTATTCCTATCAGACTTTCAGCTCTAACAGGGCTATGGGGATATAAAAGGAGCCCCAGGAATCCTGTCTTCCCTAGATATAGCAAAGACATCAATAATAACAATGATGGCAGCTAACTTTTCTGGGCATTTGCTGTGTTCCACACACTGTGCTAAGCTCTTTACAAGCTCTTTATCTCATTGAATCCTCCCAAGACCTCCATGATGGCGATACTACCCTGAGCCCCATTTGCAGATGAGCAATTTAAGGCACACAGAGGTTAAGTAACTTGCCCAAGGCCACACGGCTGGTGAGTGGTAAGATTCAAACACAGACCCAGGCCCTGCTGTCAACCAGTATAATTTTTGGCCACTAGTGACATCATAGGCACCATACTTCCATCTCCTATTTTAATGTCCTGAAGGGTCATCCTAATAAATTGCTCATTAGACTTGAGTGGGTATAAATTCTGAACATAGGGAGTCTTCTATCCTGAGCCAACCCTTCCCTTCAGAATGAACCTGCCTGGGAAGCAGTGCTGAAAGATGAAGAAAGGACCCAGACATACCAGGCATCTGTACGAACAAGGCAGAAAACGATTTCCCTGTACCCCCACCACCAGTTAAATGGCTGTGGGCATCTTTGAACCAATGACTGGGCTGCTGCAAAGAATTCTGGGAACCCTCACCCCTGCTCAATCCACAGTTCTGCAAAAGGTGGGTACCAGAATAGGGGAAGTGGAAGTATAGGCCGAGTACTTTGTTCTGCCTCCCAGGGAGAGAAAAAGCTGCTCAGGAGGCTCACATGTGACAAGTGGCCCATGGGTATACGAGGGCTGAAGTGAAGGATGGACTGCTTGCTCTGTGGGAGGAAGGAGTGAGAGTGAACTGGAGGCACAGGGCCACCTGCAGGAGGACTGAGGGAGGGAGGGAGGCTGGCTCTGGCAGGGAGGGGAGGCGGGAGCAGAGGGAGCGGAGGATCGGTTCAGGCAGTGAGAGAGGGCAGCCCCACTCCATTTCCCAGGCTGCTCTCTGGATGCAGGCAGGAAGGTTGAGTGTATTACACTGGCCCCACCTCCTGAGGCTCTCTCTGCAGCTGCTGGACTGGACACAAAAGCATAAGAGACAGAGACACCATCTCTGCTGATTTGTACCCAACTCTGATTCCTGTTGCTGAGAGGCCACGTGTCACAGAAGCCAGGGCAGGAGCCCCACGCTGCTGTCTGCATTTCCCAGGTAAGCAACTGTCTGTGTCTGAGCCAGAGGTGGAGAGCAAGGCCTGAAGTGGTGGGCAGAGGAGAACGTGAAGGTGGCTGCCCTGGGATGGACTTGGTACATTCTGGAAGAACCGAGGAAGAGGGGCAGGGGCCAGAGCTGGAACAAGCCCTTAGTCTAGACTTCTGCAAAGTGCCCACGTGTGAGGTGGAGGAGCTGCAGGCTGCACTTGGTGAGTGCAGACAAAGTTCCAGGAAAAGGCTGTGCTCTGACAGCTTCTGGGGGCCAGCGCATCTGGAGAGCAGAGGGGCCAGCCACACCACGACATCGGTGTTCCTCTTCCAGACCAGGTATATTGGTGCGGACGTTGCCAGAAAATCCCACCCCGGGCCCCTGCCTTCCTCCAGGTTTTCCTGGTGGTTGACAGAGAGGGGTTGGCAGCTACAGAAGGAGGAAAGCAGGACATATGCCCTGGGGATATGGCTTCAGACAGAGGAGGGGTTCCTCATCTGCAAAGGCAGTCTCCCCTCAAGCTCCTGAGAAGGGGTTGGTTAGCTAGTGGAGGGCTGCCTGCTGGAGGAGGCTCGCCTGTTGGCCCAGAGGGAGGGAAGAGACACAGGCTGCGGAGAATGGAGTGTGTGCACTGGAGGTGGGCTGGGGAGTGGGTGAAGTAAGTGATCTGTGAACAGCGCCACAGGAACACACACAGCATGTTGTTGCAGAGAGAGAATGAGACCTAAGAAATCAGTTCCACACAAATCCAGCATCCTTTCCTGTCCCTGCTGGGGGACCACAGCCTCTGATCAGGCTGGCCGGTCTAAGTCATATGAAGTTGGCTAGTGATGTGTCTTCTGTATTATTAATAACTACACACACACACACACACACACACACACACACACATACATTCAATTTCTAAGATCCACTCTGCTGAAAATATGTCAAACCTGGGTTTCTGTCAAAAGGCATGGCAGCAACCCTCTGATATGTGACAGGGACAGAGCAGCAAGGGAAGAGGAGTGGCCCCTGGGCTTGAGGGCACAAAGGGACATGAGACGCTGAATGCCTGTCATGACTGCAATGTGCTCTCCCTCCATCTACGGCTTCTGTATCCAGAACAGAAAGTGCGGATTCCTCCCCACCGCTTCCCACCCCATCCATACACTACGACTGGGCTTGCGATCAGGCAGGGGCTGGGGAAGGACAGGTTGATGAGATGGGGATAGGGTAACAGGACTCACCAAGTACAAAGATCACTCCCCTTATGCCTTGTGAGAAGGCAGTGGAAGGTGGGCAGAGGCAGAGAGGACGCTTTCGGAAGGTAAATACTCGATGACTAATACTGTCGACCACCCCAGGCAGTGGCCTCTGCAGCATGGGTCCTGGCTCCGACAGCTGGCCACTGGCCTCTCCCTTCTGCGGGGGCAATCTGGGTCAACGAGAGCAGGGAGGAGCCCAGCGGTGAGGCCTCATAGCCAAGGTTCCTTGGCTCAGAAAACACAAGGGGCTTTGATGCCTGCAGAAAGCAGCAGCTCTCCCAGCCAGCATGCTGTGGCTGCTCTTGGGCAGGGCCCAGCCCCAGGGCAGGCCTCAGTCTGGAGGCCACAGCTGGGAGGCAGTATGGCTCAGGGCCTAACACCAGGGCTGCTGTCTATGAGCTCTGTCGCCTTGGGCAGGTAAGTGTCCTTGTTAAGCCTCAGTTTCCTGGTCTATAAAATGGAAATAATAATATAATAATGATAGTATCTATCTAAACCCTAACCCTAACCCTAATCCTAGCAAGTGGGATCACCAAAGGGACTAAGGATGACTGTGGAATTTTCAGTAGGGCCAGCTCCTCCTTCCCCAGGAAGGCTCAACACTATGCCTGGCACGGAGACCAATGGGAAACCGCTATAGTGAGAACCTCAGTTCTCTCGTCAGGAATGTAATTAAGTACACTCTTTGTGATTTCCTCTTCACACGCCCCTTTTTTCAGGTATCCTGAACCAAGTAAAGGCTCTTCCTAGGAGGAGTGGGCAACAGAAGTGCCTGAACATCATGGCAAAAGTGGACTCCCAGGACAGGTGGGGCGAAGTGTCCCCTCTCGGCAGCTTGACTCAGGAGGCTCATGATGGCCAGATGCTAAGCCTGAACTTAGAGAGTGAGGAGGAAGATGGTGGGGAGACAGGAGATAAAGAGGGCACTGGTGACCTGGCGGCCTGTCCAAGGGGCAGCTCCCCAGGAAGTCACAACAACCCAGCCTCCAAGCATCCAGCTGGGAAAGAGGAAGAGAAATTCTCTGACTACTTCAGCGGTAAGGGCGTGGGGCAGAAACCGATGGAGATGCCTGGGAAGGCCAGTTGGGGAAGAGAGGTGTCAAAGATCACCCAGACCCTGGGTACCCTTCCCAGCGGCCTCTCTCATAAGTTGTTAGGTCAGATGCAACCTCCTAGAGACTCACTACCTGCGGGCGACGATGGATACAGGAGTGCAAACCAGGATGCGGCTTTGGATGTCCCATCCAGCTTACCGGGCACTGGAAAGTATTCTTGTGCGCAGAAAGATGTAGAAGCGTCCCCAGACATCTCTTCCCCAGCGTGTTTCCCCAGGCCAGGGCGCAACTGGGACCTCCCCACGCGGGAGACGCACACACCTGCCCAGGGGTCGGCCGTCCCAGCCAGCCTGGCAGCCGCGGTACTGGCAAAAGCGCGTATTAGCAGGAAGGGCCAGAACCAAGCGGGCGCGCGCGAGGGCGGGCAGGCGGAGGCGCGTCCCTACAGGTGCCTGCGAGGCGGCCAGGCCTTCCAGAAGCCCAGCAAACCGCCGAGCCCCGCCGAGACGCGCGGTGGCGCCAAGCCTCACGCGTGCGAGCTGTGCGGCAAGGCCTACTCCCACCGGGGCACGCTCCAGCAGCACCGGCGCCTGCACACGGGCGAGCGGCCCTACCGGTGCCCCTTCTGCGACAAGGCCTACACCTGGTCCTCCGACCACCGCAAGCATATCCGCACCCACACAGGCGAGAAACCCTACCCGTGCCCGGACTGCGGAAAGGCCTTCGTGCGCTCCTCGGACCTGCGCAAACACCAGCGCAACATGCACAGCAACAACAAGCCCTTCCCGTGCGCCGAGTGCGGCCTGACTTTCAACAAGCCGCTGTCGCTGCTGCGCCACCAGCGCACGCACCTGGGCGCGAAGCCCTTCCGCTGCCCCGCCTGCGACCGGGAGTTCGCCGTGGCCAGCCGAATGGTGGAGCACCAGCGCGTGCACTCGGGCGAGCGGCCCTTCCCCTGCCTTACCTGCGGCAAGTGCTTCACCAAATCCTCCAACCTGTACGAGCACCAGACGCTGCACACCGGCCAGAGGCCCTTCAAGTGCGCCGACTGCGGGGTGGCCTTCGCGCAGCCCTCGCGCCTCGTGCGCCACCAGCGCATCCACACCGGCGAGAGGCCCTTCCCTTGCACCGAGTGTGGCCAGGCCTTTGCCCGCTCCTCCACCCTGAAGCGGCACCAACAGATCCACTCCGGGGAGAAGGGCTTCCTCTGTGCGGAGTGCGGCAAGGCCTTCCGCATTGCCTCGGAGTTGGCCCAGCACATCCGGATGCACAACGGGGAGAGGCCGTACCAGTGCGAGGACTGCGGCCAGGCCTTCACCCGGTCCAATCACCTCCAGCGCCACCGAGCCAAGCATGGCACCTGCAAGAAGGAGCCCATCCCCTCTGCTTCTGACGAGTGAGGGCTCCAGCGGCTCGCAGAGGGGCGGAGACACCGGACCTCGCTGCTTGGAACCCTCCCCCGTGGACCCGCTCACGTGGTATTGCCCGCCAGCCTCTCTGGTCAGCATGTGTGTTCGATCTCTGGTATAGGAAGTAAATGCAGGGGTAGCGCCCAGGCGTGTGGTTTCGTGTCCGTTTTTCTTCTGAGTCTCGGAGGTCACAAGCAATGGAAAAGCGTAAGACAAAGTAGCGGGAGCTGGTCAAGAGTTGAGTTCCTTGGGTTGGGGGATGGCCATCAATCAGAAATTATTTGTATAATTATATGCTGGACACTGTGCAGGGCTCCAGGGATACGGTGAGGAAAAACACCTGTCCTGTCTTGCCCTCAGAGCCATATGCAAATACTGAGAAAGCATCTGGGCTGGTCTTCCCTAGAGAAAGGGGCTTTTTGGTTTTTACAAAAGGAATCCCCAGGAGTGGTCCTTAGGATGGACTCTCCCCCCAGCAACAAAGCTCACCTGGGGGTAACTCAAACCCAGACAGATATCCCATCATTTCAGTACCTGCTGAAATTACTTTACCCTTGGGAAGGTCTTTTTAAGTCTTGGCTTTAAGTGGAGGAGACTTTATCTTAGAGGGAAGTTTATGTTCTGTGTTAGGAACCAGTTATTCTACAAGTTCAGAGCAGCCTTCGTATCTGAAAAAGAAGCCCATTCCTCTTTACAGGAGAACTTAGAAATTGAATCTAACCGGAGAGTTTCACCCACAAAATCCATGCGTATCTCCTCTCTGGCTGCCTCTTTTCTTATTTGCACCCTGGGAGCTTAAGTCACATGTAACATTTACAGAGGAATTGGCCCATTTACAGAGAGACATACAGAATTTCTCCAGACAAGCCTGACCATGGTTAATAAAACTTTTTGGGTTCATTTAAATTTGCCTGGGTCATTAGCTTTGATTCGAAGTAAATAAAATAAAACATCCTTTGCCCAAGTGCCAACTGGCTTATCTGTGTTTCAAAGTCATTAAAACCAGGTGTGAAGTCTGTGTGATTCACGGTTATCTTCTAATGAGGTTATTCAAAATTTGCATTAGTAATAGCCACTCTTCAAAGTGTATTGATATGTATATTGATTTTTATAAAGTCAGTAGTTCTTAGCTTTGGACCTCAACTGTGGGGAATCTACAACTTCACAGAGGTCCTTGGTGCACACAGTCAAACGGCACTTCTAATTGTACCAAAGTTAAATAAGATATTCCATGGGAAGGTACAGTGCCTTCCCCTTTGAGAGTATCTTTAGTATATTCGTAGTGTTGCCACTAAAGGGCGCCGAATCTGAATTTCTCTTGTATTCCACCTGATTTGGACCCAGGGTGTTACTGCTCAATAGCATTCTTGGGATACCTAGGGGCCCAGAGAGAAATAATATATAAAGTCAGGCCTTGTGTGATCAAGGTGACCAGAGCAAAAGAATCCATTCCCATCATTTACCAGTGATGGGACTTTGGGCTTCAGCTTCTGCATCTGCATCTGCATTGGCAAAATGGGAATGAGAATAACAGGTAAGAAAGGTTGGAGTCATCCTACCGTATGACAGGAACTTTGGCTGAATGCAAGAGCATTACATTGGTAGAAACGGTATAAGAATGAATTTATGACCATGAACAGAGCAAAAGCGAGTATATATATATTTTTCTGACTGATCAGTGAAATATATGAAGACTGAAGGATTATTCCTTTTCATTATATTCTTTTTTGAAGATGGTCATTAGTATAGTTTTTACTAATTAAAAAATTTGGTTTGG